CCCGCGCGGCTGCTGGTCCCAGAGGTCGGCTGATAGCTGGGAGGCGGACGGACAGCCAGGGAGCCGCGGGGCCGCACCTGAAACCCAGAGCCTGGGTTGTGCGGAGCTCAGAGCGCTGGCTTCCCCCAGCTCCCTCCCGGGTTAACACTCGGTGCCAGAAAGAAGCACGGGGCTCTCTCTACCCCCTCCCCAAGTGCGCCCGGGCGCGCTTCCATCTGATTAGAATGTTTCTTCCATCTGATTAGAATGACAGTAGCTTTCAAGTCATTCATTATGAGAATTTTAGTCTTAAAAGAAAAAAGAGAGTCCCACTGTAATTGTGGCTTGTAATAAATGCAAACTTCTGGTGCCTTCCTCTGCAGTATGTATGACAGTAAAAAATGTGTCTCGTCCAAACGCACCCTCTCCCCGAGCCCATTGTGAAGTCAGTCTCTAACAAAGGGGACGTGTGAATATTCAACACCGACTCTTTCAGTTGTATTTTCCGGAATCCCTGAGTTGGCTCTTTTTAAATTTTTTTTAATCGGCGAATACCTGTTTAAGTTTTAAAAAGTCCATGGAGATCGTCCGCGAGCGACCATATAATTTGATTTGCCAGGCAATCTGCAGAGCGATCGCACATCATTTATAATGTTCATTGAGCATTTTGCCTAATTGTGTCTGTCTCTGAAAGGGCAGCGCACCCCCTCCCGACCGCGAGCAGCACAAGTGGCGACATTCCCATGGAGCGGCCGCGCCGCAGCTTGCCACATTCGGCGCGGGCGGCCAGGCCGCGCGCTTCCCCGCCCCGGCGACCGGGCGCGCCTGACACTAATAGCTCGCGGCTCAGGTACGAGCGGGCGCCGCATTTGACTCCATTCAATTCACAACCGGCCGCGCTTGCAGGTGTCGCCTTTTGAAACCGCCATTCAGGCGGCCGCTGTTCACTTCTCGCTGCGCCGCGGGTTTTGTGGAAGCGCAAGAATGGGGCTGATTATTCCGGTGCCCACATGCCGTCCCCACACGTCCCCACCCCCGGCCGACGGGGGGCTTCTTCCTTCGGCCAAAAGAGGCGTTTAATTAGTTCTGGGGCCGCGGAGAACCAGCGTGGCGACAAAGCCCCGCTCCCCAGGTAACCCCGGTTCCCTGCGGCCCCGAGAGAGGGCGCGCGGCGCCAGAGCACCGGCGTTGGGCCGCGCGCTCCCTCCCGCATCGCCGCCATCCCCATGCCCTCCGTCCGGCTATCCCGCAGGCCGATGGCTCGCCCACCAGGCTTGGGTGGCCTTGGCCAGCGCCGCCCATGGTCCCCGGGCGCGTCCCCCTTCCCACCTCTCTGTCCCCAGAGCCAGGCCAGCCGGGAAATGGACGCTTGGTTGGCAAAAGACAGGTGGCCGCGCTGTCTTGGGAATGCGTGTGTTCTTTCGGATACTTGTCATTCTCCCCCTTCCCCCATTTCGGGGAATCACTGAAGCCACTGTTCCCTTTATCCGCCTCTGCGTCTCAGCGCCGCGTGCGTCAAGCTCGGGGCGCACGGCTAGGCCTGGCGATGGCGAATGGCCGCCTCGCCGCCGCTGCTAGTGACACTCCCTTCGCAGCAGCGGCTCGGGCGCCAGGGCCGGCCCAGAACGCGCGTATCTGCTGGCAGCACCGGCCCTGGTCGGAGTCACCCGGCCACATGCGCCACAGACTCCCCCCTCATCCAAAGCCACCCTGCTTTGGGAGGGCTGTGCGCACTGAGCTGGGATCGCGCCCCAGCGAGCTGGACTGGAGGGGATGACCGAGGGGCGGCGCTGCGGGGCCAGACCACCGCAATATACCTTCGGGGCCGAGTGGGCGTCACCCGCGGGGCTGGGGTGGGGCGGTCCTACCCCGCCTTATCATTTGATTTCCGCGAGCGTCTGCGGACAGCGGCACCCCATTCGTTCCACTCGCTGCGCTCTGTGAACCAGGGCGGGGCTGGCGGGAGGGGCCGAGCTGGGGAGGGGCCGGGTGGTCCCGCTCCCCCGCCCCCGCCCGGCCGGCCTCGCCGGAGCACAAGTGTTGGGATTCCCACGGACCGGCGCGCTCTGCGGCTGGAGGCCCGGGCGCCCGGGGCCCGGGAGACGTGGCGGACACAGAGGGGTTTGTAGACACGGTGACCTCCGCGCTCCCGCTCTGAAAGGGCCTGAATGGAGCCGTTTATGGTGCATTACCAGTCAAGGGCTCAGGTACCAGCGCCTTGTGTCGGGAAGCCCCGGCGGCCGCCCGTGCTGCAGGTGTTTGCTATAAAAACGCCCCGGAGGGGGGAGGAGGGAGGGCCGCCAGCGACGGGGGCGGGAGAGGCCTCCCTCCTGGGCTGCGCCAGCCACTCGCGCGGATCCGCTCCTCTGCGGCAGTAGCAGCCAGCCTGGGGTGCAGACAGAGATCTTGGGGGGTGGTAGAGAAAGTAGCGGGGCCGGGGGCCTCCAGCATGTTATTTATGGGCTTTACTTGGTGGAGAAGGGAATTAGGACAAGCTTTGGGCTCTGTCCGGCCCTGATCGAGTTTCAAGGCTAAGGGCAGAGGGAGGTCACTGGAGGCTAGAACCTGTCCGTGGAGGGGAACGCTGTTGGGGGCAAGGGGCATTTTACCCACATGCTGGGCTGCTTGGATCCTCAGAGGCCTTCCAGGATTTAACTTGAACTTGCCACGCAGGCCCATTCTTTCCTTGTCTGTTTTCCAGCCCAGCAAAGATGGGCTCGAGCCCGGCGGGGTGGGGTAACAGCTGTTGGTTAAAGCGGCCTCTCCCCAGCGCCACAGTCACGGCCTGCCCAGAAGAAACCAAAAAAGGCCCGTTCGTTCCTTTGGGCTACAGCAACAGCTATTCCCTCAGCGGGTGACTCCTGTTCCCTTCTGTGCCTCCAAAGGCCTAGGGAGGAGATTGTGAATGGAGTTACTTCCTAGGTTGGCCCTCAAGTCTTCACGTGGCCCAAATCCTGAAAAGAAAAGTGACGCAAAGATACTGCTGTGACGTTAAGTAAGATAATAAAAAGGAAGAAGATTTTCAATGATTTTCAGGGCCAACTTGAAAAAGAAATTGAAGCAGACAGAAATCCTGGCTGCGTTTGAAGGGAACTTGTGGGCACTTCCAAAGGTTTCAGAAGTTGTCTGCCTGTTTCCTTTCTGTGTCTGATCTTAGCTGGAAACTTCCTTTTCCTTGTTGCAGGTGCATCACCAGCATTACTTTTATATGTGTCTTCTATTATTAGGATTAACTTTTGACAGAGTAAAACTGAGTGATTTTCTTAAAAGTAACAGAGAAGTTGGGCCAGGGATGGTGAAAAGGATGAAGAAGAGGGGTGTGTTTGGAAAGGATTGTTTGAGAGGAGAATAAGGGAAAGAGAACAGATTTCTTATAAGGCAAAATAAAGTCTTTTCCATTAAAAAAGAAAGAAAGAAAGAAAAATCATCCCCGCCCTGTCTCTTATCACATTCACAATTACATTTCTT